TTGTGGAAAGAAATTCAATGAAGGTATAAGTGTGGAAAAGTACAGCTACATCACAAATGTAAATAGAAATAAAAATGACAGAATTCAATACTAATCTTTCATTAATAACTTTAAATATTAACGGACTGAACTCCCCAGTCAAACGACACAGACTAGGTGAATGGGTTAAGAAACAAAACCCAGTTTTTTGTTGTCTGCAAGAAACCCATCTCACTTTCAAGGACATACACTATCTTAAAGTGAAAGGATGGAAAAAATATACCAAGAAAATGATACTAAGAAAAAAGCAGGTGTAGCAATTCTAATATCTGAAAAAATAGACTTTAAAACTAACCAGAAGAGAGAAAGAGGGACACTTCATTTTGATCAAAGGAACAATAAACCAAGAAGATATTACAATCATGAACATATATTCCCCAAACTTAGGTGCACCCAACTTCATAAAAACAATACTACAGGACTTTAAAACCGAGATTAATCCCAACTCATTAATAGGAGGGGACTTCAATACCCCATTGTCTCCATTAGATAGGTCAACAGGGCAGAGAGTTAACAGAGAGACATCTGAATTAAACAATACCATATATCAAATGGACCTAACAGACATCTACCGAGTATTCCACCCAAGCACCAAAGGACATACTTTATACTCAACCCCCCAAGGAACCTTTTCCAAAATTGACCATATACTGGGGCACAAAACAAACCTCAACAAATACAAAAAAGAGTGAAATAATACCATGCATTCTATCAGACCACAATGCAATAAAGCTTACAATCAACACCCGAAGAAGCCCTAGTCACCACATGAACACATGGAGATTAAACAACACAGTCCTGAATGATGAATGGGTCAAAAGAGAAATTAAGAAATAAAAGTATTCCTGGAATTAAATGAAAAGGACAGTACAACACAACAAAGCCTCTGGGACACACTGAAAGCAGTCCTTAGAGTGAAGTTTATAGCTCTTAAGTGCCTACATCAAAAAATCAGAAAGATCACAAATAGATGACTTAACATTGCAACTCAAGACACTTGAAAAGCAACAACAAATGAAACCCAAACCCAGCAGACAAGAAGAAATAACAAAAACCAGAGCAGAAATTAATGAAATGGAAACAAAGAATACAAAGAATCAACGAATCCAACACCTGCTTCTTTGAGAAGATAAACAAGATTGACAGACTTCTAGCCCAGTTAACCAAAAGAAAGAAAGAGCACCTCCAAATCAACAAAATCAGAGATGAAAGGGGAAACATCA